TGGATTTGTGGAGTTTCAACAGAACAAGTGTGTGATGAAGTTATCAAATGATTAACTCTCGCGGACTCTGTCGACCAGTGCTCGAGTAAGCTTCTGGCGATCTCACAACGTGAAACTCTGAGTAACAACATGTTTCAGGTTCTGTTTTAGTTAACTGAAAATCTCACAACGTTTAACTCCCAGTATCAACATGTTTCAGGTTCTGTTTTAGTCGTCTGAAGATCTCACAACGTTAGACTCCGAGAAACAACATGTTTCAGGTTCTGTTTTAGTTGCCTGAGGATCTCACAACGTTAGACTCTGAGTAACAACATGTTTCAGGCTCTGTTTCGATATATCTTAAATTAAATACAAAGATGTAAAACAAAGCAAGCCAGTCTGTATTACTTACCACAAGCCTTGAACCGGACCGACATCGCCGACACTTTCATTCTAGACAAGACACAAAGATAGAGGTATAGTGCTAGAATAAAACTGCAGGTTACAGGCAGCATGGTGATTGTTATTCTACAGTTCTAGTGATTATTATACACACTGTCTCTAATACTTTAACAATTTCAACATTTCTTCTTCTCTTTATACTGTCCCTTAATCTCCTTCAGCGTGAAAACCCTTCATTTAAAGATACCATTCCACATAGAAGTTGGTAAGAAATTGATCAGTTGGACAGTGGCTCAACTGGATAAATGGGGCCTGTGGACTTTCGAGTTGGGACCTCTCCGCCGGGTAAGACCTTTTCAACATATGCTTTCCTCATTCTGAGACAACTCAAGTCAAATTAATGCTTGTTAATATTTTTTAGGAGTGGAGGTCCTTACGGGCGGGGGCTCAACAGTCTCTTGGGAGCATCGGTTTATTATTGTCCATATTCATTCAATTCATTGAATTGTAAATACATAAACGGTGTGATAAAATTGAACTAACTGGACCTGTATCTTTAACTATCGCTATCATCTTTGAAGGTCGGCAGTATAGTTTCTGAAAATAGACTGACCCTAACCCTTCATCCTGACCTTTGTTGACTTGGTGTTATTTAGGGATGAATATGACAGAATTAGAATGTTATCATGGTGATGAGAGGTTTAGAGATACAAACATCCGTTCAGGTGATAAAACACAACTCAGTGGCATTCACCTGGACTCAGGGTTCATTAGAGTTCTTTGCGTCCTTCTGTATCCATCTTCACAATGTCAACCTATTATTTCTTCTTATGCAATAGTCACCTTTCTTGTATCACATCTTGACATTGTCAAATTATTACCTCTTCTTATACCTTGACTGCAATAGCCACCTTTATTGTATCATAGACGTTTTTAATGAAGCAATTCAATTACTGCCCGAAAAGATAATATTTGGGGCGTCCCTTACGCCTATGTCAGGGATCTGAAAAGTCAACCTATTTTTTCTGAAGAACGCTCATTTGTCTGTTTTTTTTCATTATCTACGGATTAAAATAATCTTCGTGCTTTTCAGCAGATTACAAAACAATTCCATAATCTGGTGACATTCTATTTATATCATACCAATCAAATTACTGCATCATACCAATCAAATTACTGCATCATACCAATCATATTGCTGCATCATACCAATCAAATTACTGCATCATATCAATCAAATTACTGCATCATACCAATCATATTGCTGCATCATACCAATCAAATTACTGCATCATATCAATCAAATTACTGCATCATACCGATCAAATTGCAGCATCATACCAATCAAATTACTGCATCATACCAATCAAATTACCGCATCATACCGATCAAATTACTGCATCATACCAATCAAATAGCTGCATCATACCAATCAAATTACTGCATCATACCAATCAAATTACTGCATCATACCGATCAAATTGCAGCATCATACCGATCAAATTGCTGCATCATATCAATCAAATTGCTGCATCATACCGATCAAATTGCTGCATCATATCAATCAAATTGCAGCATCATACCAATCAAATTGCTGCATCATACCAATCAAATTACTGCATCATACCAATCAAATTGCAGCATCATACCAATCAAATTGCTGCATCATACCAATCAAATTACTGCATCATACCAATCAAATTACTGCATCATACCAATCAAATTGCAGCATCATACCAATCAAATTGCTGCATCATACCAATCAAATTACTGCATCATACCAATCAAATTACTGCATCATACCAATCAAATTGCAGCATCATACCAATCAAATTACTGCATCATACCAATCAAATTGCTGCATCATAC